GGAAGAATATTAAATGAGATTAGATTTGTGTTATACAGCGTTAAAAAAAGAAATGTTCAAAATATACAAATCTCCAATTTCACAAGTAAAAGACAAATATTTCTACTTATCGAAATTACAAAATTATTATCCGAAAATGAACAGAAAGAGAGAAAGTGTTAGAATAATAAAACTATTAAAATTCCGTAAAAATATATTTGTTTAGATTTCCTAGTGGGTCAGTCCATTTAAGTTGTGTTCCTGAACCTCTATTTTTGGATAATTTTTTAACCTATATATTAAAAATTTTACTAAATTCTTTGGAATTTCTAAATGTTTATTAATTACTGAAAATAATTCCAAGCACTCGTTCAGATTACCACTCTGAATTACATGTTGCTGATCGGTTGCTTGTTGCAAATATGAAGTTTTCAGTCATACTGTACTTCGGAAAAGTTTCATACATTTCTTATTAATCTAAACCATCTAACTAACTAACACCACTAGTTTTCGTGGTCCGTTTGATCAATTAATATCTTTCAATTAATTAAGATTTTTAGTTGAGATAAAAAAAGTCAGTGTCAGGAGTGGGATTCGAACCCACGACCTTCGGCTAGATACGTCGCTACTCTACTACTTGAGCTACCCTGACCTCGATCCACTCGGACACTAACTTCCCATCTCAACCCCACCTTTTGAATTTTCCCTCCTTTTTGCCATGTACCTATCCGAAGGTCATAGGTTCGAATCCCGCTCGTGACACTGACTTTTTTATCTCAACTAAAAACCTTAATTAATTGAAACTTATCCAAGTTAGACAAATGTGTTTTTGGAAAAAAAATTGTTTTAAGCATCCTTTAAAGTTCGTTGCATCGCAAATTAAACAGACATTTTTAGCCCATTAGCTGGAGATGTTCCATTTAAAAATCTATAATTTCTCTGGATTTTATAAAATCCAACGGCATTATAACCGTTAGAAACCGCGTTGTTTGACTTACTGGACAAAACATTTCTCATTGACTATAAGCCTTTCGAATTGCAGAAACTGAATTTTTAATAAAAGCCTTTTAACATTTCTTTGTACTATGTACAATTTCTCTTCCTATTTTACACAGTACTAAATAACAAAACATTGTTGAAAATCTCTTTTTTAAATATGTTTTAATGATTTTTCATCTCTTGGATTTCCATTGATTTTTCTATTGTGCCTGGAACGAATCGCCGGCTGCAAGGTACACTAGGAAAAGAAAAATAATAGAAACAGCCGGTTGAAGAAGATGGAGGAAAAGAAAACAAATTGTAATGAAACCTGTTAAAGAGAAACGTGAATTGGGTCAAGATTGTCGGACATTGTCACGGTCAACACTCGACTCTGACTTTATCTCTTCAGTTCGATATCAATTATTTATACAACTTTTATAAAGGTAGAAAGTTTGATTGAATGGTGGAATGTAAATATTCCATGATAAGTTGTAAGTATGGTCTGTGATAAAGCAAAGCTGTTAGGCTCATACATCAGGCAGATTTTATGGTTTTTACGGCTTTGTTCAAACATGAGCATGTCGATGGCGCATTACACACTTTTCCTTCCTTCACTAAGCCGAAAATTGCATGTTTTTTCCGTCATTCATTCTTTTTCGGCAAAAGAGGGTATGCCTTTGGAAATGAATCATTGTTCATATCAACCGGTAAGGAGGTACAACAAAACAACTTTTGGTATAATGAGCAGTTATTTTTGTTCAAAGTTTTAGCAATTTTATCCCTGATTTGCTGACTACTTCATCATACTTGTTTCTTCTGAAGTCCTCAACATATTTTATGCGATGAGAGAACGAAGGCCCAAGTATGTTTTACAGGTTAAATTATATCCACTGCTTACTAAATTAACTAGTTTTCGTGGTCCGCTTGACCAATTAAAAACTTTCAATTAATTAAGGTTTTTAGTTGAGATAAAAAAGTCAGTGTCACGAGCGGGATTCGAACCCACGACCTTCGGCTAGATACGCCGCTACCACTTGAGCTATCGTGACTTCCATCCACTCGGACACTAACTTCCAACCTCAACCCCACCTTTCTGCCATTTTTCAAATGCCGTGTAATCTTTTGATTCTCGGTGACAAACGAAATTTTATCTCAACTAAAATCCTTAATTAATTGAAAGTTATTAATCGGTCAAGAGGACCAAGAAAACTAGTGAATCTAATAAGCTAAAATGAATCACTAAATCTCTCCGTTGCCATTTCATTTGTCGCCGTGAATCAAACAAATTACACATTTGAAAAATTGCAAAAAGGAGGGAAAATTCAAAAGGTGGGGTTGAGATGAGAAGTTAGTGTCCGAGTGGATCGAAGCCACGATAGCTCAAGTGGTAGAGCAGCGGCGTATCGAGCCGAAGGTCCCGAATCCCGCTCGTGACACTGACTTTTTTATCTCAACTAAAAATCTTAATTAATTGAAAGTATATCCACTGCCTTCTCCTCTTTTGACTCCTCAAATACCAGTAGCTTACTATAACTTCATCCTCACTTGATAGTCAGAACTTATATTTTGAGAATTTAATATTGAAATTCTATATTTTTTTAAATGGCAGTTTTTCTAAAAGTTAAAAAAAATTGTTAATGAACCTACTGGCCTAGAAGAATGTCAATGTACCGTAAGTATTGAGGAATATATTCACAGTACTAAAACTTCAAAACTACTTCAAAAATATGCCAACAGGTATTGGTCGTGATTGAATTTTTTTTTTAAGTCCAAATAGTCCAGGGTTATATAATTCACAATAACCCCCTGAAAAAAAAAATCCGTACAAAATCCAAATCAGACTGAAACCATTGGTACTTCCTGTCGTTTATTTTATTTTTTACTTTTCGCGTTTTTATCCCAATCAAGATTGTGATCATTCCAATGTTGGTCATTCTCGACCAAGCGTTAGATAACGACAAGTCTTACGTTTTGCAACTTTTCCGAGACCATTAAAACTTTATCATGTTTTGATCACTTGTTATTAACATTTGAGGAAAATGAGGAATTAATCCTTTACCGAATATTACACCAACTTCGTCTAATTGCTTCACCAATTGATAATACTTAAAAAGAGATCAGGATTTCAACGCCCGATGTGAAACAGCAAACTTCAAACGCTTAGTTAAACTTTAAAATTGTATTATTCAGAAATCGTCAGATGCGATCTGGAGTGATGTAGGTTTCAGAAAAACGTTTTGTTTATCGTGCCACGTTTCGAGCTTTATTGAGATCATCTTCAGAGCCTGGGATTTACTAACATATAGGAATAACAAGGCAATAATAAGGATAAACAAATACATATAGGATGTGGAATAAAGTGAATTTATACAATGCAAAAAAACGTTTTTTTATATTCAATCAAAGTTAACACTTTGAGTGAATAGAAATATGTAGTTTGATTTAATATAAAAAATATTTTTTTGGCATTGTATAAATTCACTTTTTTCCACATCCTGTATGTTTTTGTTAAATTTAAGCAATGTTTGTGAATCCCAGGCCCTGAAGATGATCTCAATAAAGATCGAAACGTGTGGTGATTAGTGACCGTTAGTCTATGAATATTGGGAAATCGTGAGATGCGGTCTGGTGTGACGTAGGTTTCAGAAAAACATTTTCTTTATCGTGCCAACGTTTCGATCTTTATTGAGATTATCTTCAGGGCCTGGGATTTACAAACATTATTTAAATTTAACAAATACATGTAGGATATGGAAAAAAAGTGAATTTATACAATGTAAAAATATATGTTTTATATTCAATCAAAGTATTTCTACTCAATCAAAATGTTTGTTTTCTGCGTAAAAAAAAAAAAAAAAAAAAAAAAAAAAACAAAAAAAAAAANTTTTTGTTAAATGTAAACAATGTTTGTAAATCCCAGGCCCTGAAGATGATCTCAATAAAGATCGAAACGTTGGCACGATAAAGAAAATGTTTTTCTGAAACGTACGTCACACCAGACCGCATCTCACGATTTCCGAATAATCGTCGACTAACGGTCACCAATCACCACACATTTAAAATTGTATACTTATTAAATCCCAAAATGGCTGATTTTTATTCTGTTCGATGTAATTATGGATTGTTTTATATAAATTTTCTTCCTAGCCGATCTATATCACTATTAACCTACTTCCTGTAACTTTTATATTTAATTAATGTTTTTATTTCATTCTACTCGTCCAGTAAGCATAATAATTGCTTTTAAAAAATGAAAATTGTTCAAGCTTTTCAGTGAATATCTACTAACTTGAACACTTTATGTACTTTGAGCTTTGATCCATACCTGACATTATTGAAAAGTGATTTTTTTTGTAGCTTGATCGACAAATATACAAATTTCTATAATGCTTTGGAATTGTACGTAATGCAAAAACAGGTATTTACATCCGGTTATAAAAATAAACAGTTATAGCAGGAAGCTATCTTTCAGTAGTATAGAATTTCCGGTGAAGATTTTTTTCTATTTATGATTTAAAAAGTTAATGTGATCATCCATTATTAAAGATTTTTCAGCATAATCATGTCAAGTTTTTAAAAATCATCAGGGACAAGGCCGAAGAAAGAAAACACAGTTCCTTCGTCGCGCTTTCGAGAAATCGAAACGAACAATCAAAATTTAATTAATAAAAAAGTTAATATTATCATTACTATTTTGGATGCTTACAGTTTCAAGCATCATGGAATTAAAAATGGAAGTTTACAAAAAACGAGATAAAATATGACCTAGTTCATTTTATTAAACCACTTCTGGCTGGAATTAAGCAAAGAAACTTTCGTATAATAGTTCAGTAGTGATTCAACGCTTTGATTTTACGGTTTTTCGGAAAAGTCTAGCCTATATATATGTAGTATAATTGTTTAAATTTTTTTTGATGACCTATTTATTAGTTGGTGTGTTATTATTAGTTTTCTTGGTATTCGATTCTTTCATATTATTCACGACAGTTATCAAACATTAATTTACTTCCTGTTTATTAAAAAAAAAATCTTTTACTTACAGTTGAAAGAAGGTAAGGCCGGAAATCAGGATCTTCATTTTGGGTGAGGAGGGCAGACGTAACTGTCACATAGAACGATAACGTTAGGATGAACCCTAAGATGGGAGTCGGGGGCATAGCTTCTCGACCATGACAAGGCCTGCGATCGACACAGAGCTCTGATACTCACTGCCGGCACTTCTCTGCCTCGGCATCGCAAGACGTCCTGAGGGGGGGAGAGCGGCCGGAACTGGGCCTCGGTCGACCTCTAGGCTCGTGGGAGGCATGGAATATAGGTTCGAACTATCACCCTGCCCTCCTCGGGACAGTTTGCGATTTTTGTTTTATATCTAGGCTTGTAGTTTATGCCAATATTCATTAAAAAAATACCCGTTGTTATTGATAAAATTATCATTAATAATTGCAGGAATACACAGTGACTCACGGTAAAAATTAAACACACCAACATATCTCTTATCTATAAGATGCACACTTTTCAGTATCACCAAGAACTTAATCACCTTCAAAGACCCTTGTCATATTCTCATAGTAGGATTTCGTAAGGTAGAAAAATCATCACTTTAATATCGTCTTATTTAGTGAGAATCCATCGATTTGATTAATCAAGGTTATAAACACAAAACTATATTGTACCGGCAATAGTTTCACTTTTCCTGTCTCCAGTAAATATTATAGAAATAAGTTAATTATAGAAAATTAACCTTATGATGGCAAAAATTGGCCCATGGGCTTGGTCTACTATTTATGGAATTTATTTGATACAAAGATATATTTGTTTCTGTCTTTTCTCATGTTCTTCCGGTCATATTTCTTGTCTTTCCTATTTCACTCTATAACTCACTCCTCTCATTCCATTTGCTCCCTTTTCATCTCTTACCTCTCACACTCAAATTTTTTGCTATGTTTCGTGTCATCTTTCTCTCTCATTTTTCATATTTTGCTTATACACATTTTCCATCTATGTATCAATCTATCTAACTACTTATATCTCCCTCCCACATCTTTCTTTTATCATCCTCTCTCTCCCTCTGACTTTTTTATATTTCTCTTATACACTCCCTCCATCTATCTATCGCTCTATCTAACTACTTATCTCTCTCACACTCTCTTTCACCTCGTTCTTTTCTCATTCTCTCTCTCTCTCTCTCTCTCAGCCGTCTCCCTTTATTTTCTCACTCTTTCTTTTTCTCGTTCTCTCTCTCTCTCCTTCTCTCTGTTTCATATTTCTCTTATACACTCTCTCCATCTATCTACCGCTCTATCTAACTACTTATCTCTCTCACCTCTTTCTTTTCTCATCTTTCTCTCTCTTTCTCTTTCTCTCTCTCTCTCTTCTCCCACTCATTGAATGCGAGAAGAGCGAAACGAAGTGGCTATTATTTTAAATGGGAAGACAATAAAAATCGTATTTGGCGATCCTGACTCCTCCAAAGTGCTATAAAGTTAAATACCAGTAATTAAGGTGGAACACGACAAAAAGGCAAAATTGTGGAAATGAGGGTTGGCCGGAGTTAGCTCATTCTTCCTCTCTCTCAGCCCTCCCCCTTTATTTTCTCACTCTATCTCTTTCTTGTACTCTCTCTCTCTCTCTCTCTCTCTCTCAGCCCTCTCTCTTTGTTTTCTCACTCTTTCACAAACAACACGGCAAAAAGGCAAAATTCTGGAGATGAGGGTTGGCCAGATTACAGGTAACAATATAAGTTTGCAGAGTGCTGGTCTGTGAACTGACTCGGTTTAGGAAAAAAGAGCCGGTAACGCTAAGCATCAATCCTTGCACAAAAATGTCGAGTGTTCTAGCAAAAAATAAAAATAAACTAAAATGCGTGCTTCAAAACTAAGATCAAGTGTGTGATGATTAGTGACCGTTAATCGATAATTATTCAGAAATCGTGAGATGCGGTCTGGTGTGATGTAGGTTTCANATATAAAAAATATATTTTGCATTGTATAAATTCACTTTTCCACATCCAAAATGTAATTGTTAAATGTAAACAATGTTTGTAAATCCCAGGCCCTGAAGATGATCTCAATAAAGATCGAAACGTTGGCACGATAAAGAAAATGTTTTTCTGAAGCCTATATCACACCAGACTGCATCTTACGATTTCTGAATAACTAAGATCAAGAGCGGGGTTCGCCACCTATTTATCTGGTAATGACTTTCTTATTAAATTTTTAAAAATAGATATATTGGTTGTGTTGAGATTAGTTTCAGTTTTTAAATAAATTCTAATTTTCCTTAAATCGGCTAAAATTTAAGTTCATTTTTTGTTTTGACAAAATAAGTTTATTGTCAAGGTTAAATTGTCGTTGTTTTGGTTGTTTTCAAGCGTCCAAAATCAATGTTTCTAGTGGACAAAACGTTACAAAATTTTAAAAAACACAAAATTCTATATCATGCCTTTAATAGAAAAACGTGTAAATAGCCTCGCACGTACGCACGGTTAGTTAAGATTCTGGAAGACGCGACATGTGTCCAAGGCGAGGTTGTAAACGAAATTAGCCTGACGGAATAATGCCAAAGGATGACTAAAACTGTAAGGTTAAACCAAAAAAGGATATCAGTTTTTAATTATACATATGTATCTTTTTTGTTGTAGGGTTTACTTATAAATAATATATTTAACTTGATATCGAATCTCACATGCATGTACAGAGGAGAAAACGTTACACTGAGGAAAAATTTATGTTGACGAATCCTGATAAAAACACATTGTGCAACTTTAAATTCACTAATTTCGTGGTCCGCTTGACCAATTAATACATTACAATTAATTAAGGTCACGATAGCTCAAGTGGTAGAGCAGCGGCGTATCTAGCCAAAGATCGTGGGTTCGAAACCCGCTCGTGCCATTGACTTTTTTTATCTCAACTAAAAAACCTTAATTAATTGTAATGTATTAATTGGCCAAGCGGACCACGAAATTAGTGAATTATGGTTAGGGATGAGCTAGGTTACATATTCTTGATATGTTATTTTCCATGAAACAGAGAAAATATACGAGTGCAAATATACGAAAGCAATATTTCTTACAAATAGTATCTGGTGACCTTTACATCTTTAAAAAATGACATGCAAAGCTTTTTCTGTTCCGCCTGGTTAGTAAGCCATACTAAACCGCAATACATGAAAGTAATGCAGTAAAACCTATTTTTTTCGTTCAGTAATATTCCAGCATTAGCTATAATAGAGATTCCTATACAATCTGAGGTTTGTGAGAAACAATACAAGCTAATTTAATTAAAACAAATTCACTCGTTATCAATGTAATAAATTATTTATTCAATAAGTTGCAGCATGACAATCCGTATTAAAGCTGACGTCATGGTCTCTGTTTAAAAACCCCTTAATAACTGTATTATTAAAATGAAACTGAATGCAATTTGTTGAAATATTACTTATTTAACTTGAATAAAATTCTGTGGATCTAAAATTTTGTAGACATTTTCTCTGAAGTTGATTAAATCGTCGAGCTGTTTCTGTGAAGCGAAATTGTGCAGATCAGCCATGACTGGAGGAAGAGGGTCCAAACCACCTAGCACATTAAGTAAGTATATTTAAATAAATTCTATGCTTTGTGATATAGTTACCTGATTTAGCCAAGTCGGCGTAGTAATCCCCTTGCATCGTTCCCATCATGTGAAACTGTTTTCTTTTCAATCCTTGTTTCTTTCTTTCCTCCATTTCCTTCTCGGTATCGTGGATCATCTCCTCTTTAGACGGCAGTTTAAATCCCCGGTCCAGATGTTTCAAGAAATATCTCACCTTAAAAACCAGGACTGTTTATTGGCTAGCTGTTAAACCAGTTTTGATAACATACCTGTAGGTCGAACAATGAAAAAGCGCAGACATAGTAAGGTAAGCCGATGAGGCATAGCGTTGGATGATCGATATGGATTAAATGTTTGTACAGTGGTTGGACACAGTTGTCTTCGACGACTACGCCGCATTTGTTCGACAAAAATGGAAAGCTGTATTTGTAACCTATAAAGTATTATATATATATTTTGCCTTATTGATCTATGGTAGACGAAACAATAAGCTTAAAAATGACCACTATCATTACTAAATCATGCATAGTTAAAACGCACTGTGTTTTGAAAAGTTAGGTACGGATTTGGAGTTAAGTTAGGTTAGGTAAGGTTACACTTAGGTCAGGTAACATTCGATTTAGGGGCGTGTTAGGCTACGTAAAAGATTCTGGGTTCGAATCCAGATAATGATGCAAAAATGGTAAAGAGGTTTGATGGTTGGTTTGGTCGTTAGCAATACTCAACGTGTTAGGTTATGCCCTCATGTTTGACAGCAATTACACAACAATATTTAGGTGTACTCTTACCACGATATCAAAGTTAAGAAATCCTTTTAAGGAGGCTTTTAAGAAAAAAAAAGTTTATTGTCAAATTTACTAGTTTCGTCGTCCCCTTGACCAAAAATATCTTTCGATTAAATAAGGTTTTTAATTGAGATAGAAAAGTCAGCGTCACGAGCGGGATTCGAACCCACGACTTCGGGTAAATACGCCGCTGCTCTACCACTTGAGCTATCGTGACCTCGATCTACTCGGACACTAACTTCCCATCTCAACCCCACCTTTTGAATTTTCCCTCCTTTTTGCCATTTTTCAAATGTCGTGTTATCTATTAAATTCTCGGCGACAAATGAAATGGCCACGGAGAGTTTTAGTGAAGTATACTCATTTTGTTTATTACATTTTATTAGGTTTCGTGGTCCGTTTGACCAAATTAATTTTTTTCAATTAATTACGGTCTTGGTTGAGAAAAAAAAGTCAGTGTGACGAGCGGGATTCCAACCCACGATCTTCGGCTAAATACGCCGCTGCTCTACCACTTGAGCTATCGTGCCTTCGAACCACTCGGACACTAACTTCCCATTTCAACCCCACCTTTTTGATTTTTCCCTTCTTTTTTGCCATTTTTCAATTGTCGTGTTATCTATTTGATTCTCGGCGACAAAGGAAATGGCCACGGAGAGCTTTAGTGAAAACATACTTCATTTTAACTTATTAAATTCACTAGTTTTCGTGGTCCAATTGACCAATTAAAATCTTTTAATTAATTAAGGTTTTTAGTTGAGATAAAAAAGTTTAAGTTGAGGGAAAATTCAAAAGGTGGGGTTGAGATGGAGTTAGTGCCCGAGTGGATCAAGGTCACGATAGCTCAAGTGGTAGAGCAGCTGCGTATCTAGCCGAAGATCGTGGGTTCGAATCCCGCTCGTCACACTGACTTTTTTCTCTCTACTAAAAATCAAATGTCGTGTGACGTTTATAATGCCGTTGGATTTTATAAAATCCAGAGAAATTATAGATTTTTAAATGGAACATCTCAAGCTCATGGGCTAAAAATATTTGTTTAATTTGCGATGCAACGAACTTTAAAGGATGCTTAAAACAATTTTTTTTTCCAAAAACACATTTGTCTAACTTGGATAAGTTTCAATTAATTAACGTTTTTAGTTGAGACAAAAAAGTCAGTGTCACGAGCGGGATTCGAACCCACGACCTTGGGCTAGATACGCCGCTGCTCTACCACTTGAGCTATCGTGACTTCGATCCACTCGGACATTAACTTCCCATCTCAACCCCACCTTTTGAATTTTCCCTCCTTTTTGCCATTTTTATCTCAACTAAAAACCTTAATTAATTGAAATATATTAATTGGTCAAGCGGACCTCGAAAACTAGTGAATTTAATAAGTTAAAATGAAGTACACTTCACTAAAGCTCTTCGTGGTCATATCGTTTGTCGCCGAGAATCAAATAGATTACACGACATTTGAAAAATGGCAAAAAGGAGGGAAAATGTAAAAGGTGGGGTTGAGATGGGAAGTTAGCGTCCGAGTGGTAGAACAGCGGCGTATCAAGCCGAAGATCATGGGTTCGAATACCGCTCGTGACACTGACTTTTTTATCTCAACTAAAAACCTTAATTTATTGTCAAATGTACAATGTTTAACTTTAAACGGACAGAAAGGTATCTCACAAGTAAAGCCTGGATATTTGGGAATTACGGTGTTTATTATTTTTTAATGAAATCAGCATTGTCTACTTCTATCTCTTTTCCTTCGACAAATGTAAGTTTACTCCCTTGGATTTCCGGACTTAGAACCTCTTTTCGACATTGGACGGACCCGCTAGACTTCGCTGACGTGTCGGTCTGAGGGGCAACTCCAACAATGAACTTTTTTCAAGCACAACTTCAATGACCAAGCACGTTAAGCCAAAATTAAAAAAAAATGAAATAAAAATACAATACCTGTGCAATAAAATATAACGTCTACTTCTATTTCTTTTCCGTCGTCAAATGTAAGTTTATTCCCTCGGATTTCAGACACTTCGAATCTCATTTCGACATTGGACGGGAATACATTTTTGGGTTCGTCGCTTCCTCTATGCCTACTGAGATAGACCTGGAAATTAATTAATCAAATTAGAAAAAATATTGAAAACCCTTTTGAGGGAAAAGTATACTTTTTTGGCTTTCGTCGCGATTTCCAAAGAGAGATCAAGACCTGAAGGTCCGGCACCGATAACGATGACGTTTTTCCCAGTAAATATTTCGGGATGTCTGTAATCGTGGCTGTGAAACTGTTCCCCGGTGAAGGTTTCCATGCCAGGTATAGTCGGGTACATTGGTGTGTGGTAGTGACTGAAAAAAAGATATTTGAAGGCTGGGAAAAAAAATTCGATTATCATACTGCCAGTTCAATACCGTAGACCTCAACAACGAATGTCACTAAAATCTGCAATATATTTTGAAATGAACTTTGACGATATATGGTGTTACCTTAAAAAAGAACAATTCTATGATGATAAATTTTCCTTCTATTTCCACTGTTTTAGTTAGTTCATCTTTGAACATGATCACGATCAAAAGTTCTCAATTTTTAATAATTACGATTATTTGGAGTGGGCTCAAGTGTTTGCTTTCTGTGTAGTGTCAATACTGGGTGTCGCGTTAAGAGTGCCCAACACGACACGCAAGCCCTGAAGATGATCTGAATAAAGATCGAAACGTTGGCACGATAAAAAAAATGTTTTTCTAAACCTACATCACACCAGACCGCATCTCACGATCACCAAATAATCATTAATAACGATCAATAATTTCCACACATTTAAGAATTATGTTGCACAGCCATAACTGGATATAGCCAAATAATGACTTTATTCAATTTTTTAACGTTGTAAGACTTATTTTTACAATTATACCTTCGATTCGTGAAGAATGATAATAAAGGTTTAAGGTATGCCGATGACGAGGCCATTTTTGCAGATAACCCAGTGGTTTTACAACTGAATATTAACGCCCAGGCCAAATATTGCCATCCTGGAATCCTAACCTTAATAATTTCTATGGTGATTAGTGACCGTTAGTCAATGATTATTCGGAAATCGTGAGATGCGGTCTGGTGTGACGTAGGTTTCAGAAAAACATTTTCTTTATTGTGCCAACATTTCGATCTTTATTGAGATCATCTTCAGCGCCTGGGATTTACAAACATTTAAATTTAACAAATACATGTAGGATTGGAAAAAAGTGAATTTATATAATGCAAAAAAATATTTTTTATATTCAATCCCAGGCCCTGATGATGATTTCAATAAAGATCGAATCTTTGGCACGATTAAGAAAATGTTTTTCTGAAACCTACATCACACCAGACCATCTCACGATTTCCGAATAATCTTAATAATTTGTTGGAGTCGTCAGGAGTGGTCAAGAATGGGGTAGTTTAGAAAAACACCTTTTTCATTTTTTTTGCCGATGTTTCGACCCTTGTTCTGGTTAACTTTACGGCATAAAGTGTGATGCTATTCTTGTGGTGTCATGTTGGTTTTGTTTGAAATTGTTGTGACCTCATTCTTGACCGCTCCTCACGACTCCAACAAATTATTAAATAAGCGATGAAAAATTCAAAATAGTTGTGTTCCGCAGAAGAGGCCCACTTGTTAACAACGAGAAGCGTTTTATAATTGGCAATAAACGTTTTAAATATTAGGTCGTTATCTTAACTTTCTTTTATCCCACACTTATTGAAAGAGGGTTTCATTCGCGAAAATGAAAATGAACAGGGTGTGGTCAAAATTCCTCAACAAGCAGCTAATATCTCTTCAGAGTAAATGGAAGGTGTTTCAATTGATTTGTCACCCTATATCTTGCTACGGTGCTCAACTACGACGAGGACGGGTGGTGCATTGTGGTTAGGGCTCGGGGCCCAACAAAAGTTTACCTCGTGTCCTCATTCACGTCCCTTTTTCACTCCAGGTTCCTTCACTCTTCGCTGTGACCCCTCCCAACCTTTGTCTACAAGGGGGGTGTCCGGGCGCAAAATAAAGGTGTAGCCCAGAGGGCATGGCAACCTCTCTAAAGCGCAAGCTGTACTCGGGTCGGCATGGGGCGACGGGGGCCTTATCAGAAGCACAGGAGGGTTAGGGCACCATGTCTGCATATACGGGGGAGGGTGCACAACCATCTGTACTACGGGGTAACAGAAATGTTCCAAGGTTCAGCTCCTGTTACATTGGTAATGGACTCGTAGTGGGCCCTGGCGGTTACTTAGAGAAGAGGCTGTCTTCTATCTGTGACCTTCCCACGAAACTTGCGCATGACCATAGTTATACACCCGGCCTCACGGGATACGGCGGATACGGCAGCGTATAAGCGTTGAGGACGCTATGATTACGCTGCAAAGTCCCTCGAATGCGCCAGTAGTGGCGGATGGGAATGGGGAGTGAATCGATTGCTCCTACTCGAGTATGCTTTGCACGTAGGTGTAGGCTGAGCTCGATTGAAGGCTTTTACCCTATGCGGTCTCCTCTAGGGGGTGGTTAGCAATTCTACTTTAAACAAAACCGCGGCCGGAGCGGATCCGGTAGTTTCTACGCTACGGAAGCCCGACTATTCTAGGAGGTAGAGAGGCCTTCTAGGGAGTGCGCGGGAGACCAGGCTCTGATGTATTTCGGCTTAAGTAGCCCTTTGCGCGCGGCATTCGGTTCGATGCTTAATGCGGACCTGACTACTCGGAATGGGCAAGCAGGGAGCGAGGTTGTCTTGGCCCCTCGGGGCTGAGCTGCCTCTACAAAACAACAACACCCTTCTGTCGTATGCGGAGGTGCGTCAGCTCTCATCTTGAGAATCAAAACGTCCGACAAGGCCGAATAGGCTAGGCATGCCGTTAAAGATCCTCATTGTCCTTTTACGGGAAGCAATTCTACGGTGCTCAAGTTTGAGGTTGCAACGCGAAATACTTGAGCGAATCCACTATTTCTGTATAAAGAAATGTTTGCCCTGTTCTGCCATAGCTCATTATCTGTTACATCTCGAAATGGAGGTGGATGTTCTTTTTCTTCACACTCTGAAGCTTCACTTCAAGTAATGCCTTAGTTTACTTCTTAATTAAACTTATTCCCTCTCGTAATCCTACATTATTTGCAATAGAAAATACATTTTACAAACAAAAATGCATTTTGGTTTAATAGTCGGACAGATCTCTCTCAGAAATTTAATTTAATTCGATAATTCACTTCTAAATATCTCTTTCTGGAATGACCAATTATCTATTTTATTGGCAAGAGAACAAGAAGAAGTAATACACTTTGAAACATTACTACTGAACTCACCCATTGCAGACCATGACAGCATCGAACATGAATTCTTTTTCTTCATCGTTGAGCAAATCTTTAACACTTACTCTCCACAAGTTGTCCACAGGCTCCACATTTTGGACATAATGATTAAACTGTAAAATCACTAAATGTTAATATTTTAAACAGGATTAAAAATATTATAGATAATAATAATTCATGCTGAACTGGCATTGGGTCTGTCTTCACTGGCGAGTTAGTTGAACTACTCAATCGCGTTTCGGAATGGCGCCATCTTCAGTTCAATCACCGAAACGCGTTTCAGCAGTAATACAAACCCGCGAGTGACAACGGACCCAATAAATGACACAATGCAGGTTCAGCATGAGTTCG